TAGAACTGAACTTAGAATGAACTAGAACTGAACTAGAACTGAACTAGAAACTGAACTAGAACTGAACTAGAACTGAACTAGAACTGAACTAGAACTGAACTAGAACTAAACTAGAACTAAACTAGAACTAAACTAGAACTAAACTAGAACTAAACTAGAACTAAACTAGAACTAAACTTAGAACTAAATAGAACTAAACTAGAACTAAACTAGAACTAAACTAGCAACTAAACTAGAACTAACTAGAACTAAGCTAGAACTAAACTAGAACTAAACTAGAACTAAACTAGAAACTAACTAGAACTAAACTAGAACTGAACTAGAACTGAACTAGAACTAAACTAGAACTGTTTTTATAATGTAATTTTAATCCATAAAATTTTTTAACAACCTCAAAGTTTAAAAGTAATTTGCACAATGACAAAATCTGCCATTTATATTTATTAAATACATCTCTGCTAATTTTAATTTAAAAATTTCACAGATAATTATCAATCAACATTTATAATTACTAATAAAGTACATTGTTCACACTATTAAAAAAATGTATCATGATAGTAGTGACCATTTCTTAGATATCACGTTTTTTCAATGCAATTTCTATTTATCTATTGTCATATACAAACACGTACCGAATCTAAATACATTTCTACATACTAATTAAAATGTACTTAAGCTGTTAGATTTCATTAAGTTTTAAGCCGACAGTAGAACAAAACTAACCATTTAAGTGTACGAATTTTTAGAAAAATAATTTATAATTTTTTTCAAATAATAATCATACATACATACTTGCCTCAAAAATTAAACACAAAAACCGCAAAAAACCAAATAACAACCACCAAACGAACGCCCGCCATGTGGATAGACAGACAACAAATAGTACTTGTGCCATAATTGTCATTAGTAGAAATATGAGCTCATCATCATCATAATGATGAACATCATCATCATCTTTACCATCATCATTATTGTTATTGTATCTCTATGTATGCCTATTACGGGCATTTACGATTTTAAAATATGCAAAAAAAAAAATACAAACAAAACGGCGTAATTATGGTATCATTCGAAGTTGCATACTTTTTTTATACGTTTTGCATATTTAAATAATATAATGAGTTACTTCTTCTTCGTTTTGTTTGCTGTTACAAATGTTAGTTAGTTACAAACATTCACATACACACATACATATTTTATGCATGCAACAGAGTTTGTGCAACAACAACTCCAACATTTTACCCCTAAGTTACTTGTTTTATTGTGTAAACGTAGAACATTTCGTAATCACAATTTAAGAATGATGATTTTTTTCAACTAAAATATACAATTTTAAAATAGGTAAGGCATTAAACAAGATTTAGGAGGGGAGAGAGTTAAATAAAAAAAACCATAACGACATCCTGTGGTAAACAATGGTTATAGACAGGAGATACAGTGGTATTGCCGATATGAAGTCGTATTAGAGAATAACACTTTTATCACTTCAAATCATCTTCAGAGTCCATTGTTCAGAAACTCAGTGATTAATACTTGTTATAATATCGAAAAAGTATTCCGGCGTTTTACTTTCCTCTCCGTAAGCTCTACATATGGACCTACATGACTAGAACTGAACTAGAACTGAACTAGAACTGAACTAGAACTGAACTAGAAATGAACTAGAACTGAACTAGAACTGAACTAGAACTGAACTAGAACTGAACTAGAACTGAACTAGAACTGAACTAGAACTGAACTAGAACTGAACTAGAACTGAACTTGAACTGAACTTGAACTGAACTTGAACTGAACTGAACTAGAACTGAACTAAAACTGAACTAGAACTGAACTAGAACTGAACTAGAACTGAACTAGAACTGAACTAGAACTGAACTAGAACTGAATTAGAACTGAATTAGAACTGAACTAGAACTGAACTAGAACTGAACTAGAACTGAACTAGAACTGAACTAGAACTGAACTAGAACTGAACTAGAACTGAACTAGAACTGAACTAGAACTGAACTAGAACTGAACTAGAACTGAACTAGAACTGAACTAGAACTGAACTAGAACTGAACTAGAACTGAACTAGAACTGAACTAGAACTGAACTGAACTAGAAGTGAACTAGAACTGATCTAGAACTGAACTAGAACTGAACTAGAACTGAACTAGAACTGAACTAGAACTGAACTAGAACTGAACTAGAACTGAACTAGAACTGAACTAGAACTGAACTAGAACCTAACTAGAACTAAATTAGAACTGAACTAGAACTGAACTAGAACTGAACTAGAACTGAACTAGAACTGAACTAGAACTGAACTAGAACTGAACTAGAACTGAACTAGAACTGAACTAGAACTGAACTAGAACTGAACTAGAACTGAACTAGAACTGAACTAGAACTGAACTTGAACTGAACTTGAACTGAACTTGAACTGAACTGAACTAGAACTGATCTAGAACTGAACTAGAACAGAACTAGAACTGAACTAGAACTGAACTAGAACTGAACTAGAACTGAACTAGAACTGAACTAGAACTGAACTAGAACCTAACTAGAACTAAATTAGAACTGAACTAGAACTGAACTAGAACTGAACTAGAACTGAACTAGAACTGAACTAGAACTGAACTAGAACTGAACTAGAACTAGAACTGAACTAGAACTAGAACTGAACTAGATCTGAAATAGAACTGAACTTGAACTGAACTGAACTAGAACTGAACTAAAACTGAACTAGAACTGAACTAGACCTGAACTGAACTGAACTAGAACTGAACTAAGAACTGAACTAGAACTGACTAGAACTGAACTAGAACTGAACTAGAACTGAACTAGAACTGAACTAGAACTGAACTAGAACTGAAACAACTGAACTAGAACTGAACTAACTGAACTAGAACTGAACTAGAACTGAACTAGAACTGAACTAGAACTGAACTAGAACTGAAATAGAACTGAACTAGAACTGAACTAGAAGTGAACTAGAACTGATCTAGAACTGAACTAGAACTGAACTAGAACTGAACTAGAACTGAACTAGAACTGAACTAGAACTGAACTAGAACTGAACTAGAACTGAACTAGAACTGAACTAGAACTGAACTAGAACCTAACTAGAACTAAATTAGAACTGAACTAGAACTGAACTAGAACTGAACTAGAACTGAACTAGAACTGAACTAGAACTGAACTAGAACTGAACTAGAACTGAACTAGAACTGAACTAGAACTGAACTAGAACTGAACTAGAACTGAACTAGAACTGAACTAGAACTGAACTAGAACTGAACTAGAACTGAACTAGAACTGAACTTGAACTGAACTTGAACTGAACTTGAACTGAACTGAACTAGAACTGATCTAGAACTGAACTAGAACAGAACTAGAACTGAACTAGAACTGAACTAGAACTGAACTAGAACTGAACTAGAACTGAACTAGAACTGAACTAGAACCTAACTAGAACTAAATTAGAACTGAACTAGAACTGAACTAGAACTGAACTAGAACTGAACTAGAACTGAACTAGAACTGAACTAGAACTGAACTAGAACTGAACTAGAACTGAACTAGAACTGAACTAGAACTGAACTAGAACTGAACTAGAACTGAACTAGAACTGAACTAGAACTGAACTAGATCTGAACTAGAACTGAACTAGAACTGAACTAGAACTGAACTAGAACTGAACTAGAACTCGAACTAGAACTCGAACTAGAACTGAACTAGAACTGAACTAGAACTGACTAGAACTGAACTAGAACTGAACTAGAACTGAACTAGAACTGAACTAGAACTGAACTAGAACTGAACTAGAACTGAACTAGAACTGAACTAGAACTGAACTAGAACTGAACTAGAACTGAACTAGAACTGAACTAGAACTGAACTAGAACTGAACTAGAACTGAACTAGAACTGAACTAGAACTGAACTAGAACTGAACTAGAACTGAACTAGAACTGAACTAGAACTGAACTAGAACTGAACTAGAACTGAACTAGAACTGAACTAGAACTGAACTAGAACTGAACTAGAACTGAACTAGAACTGAACTAGAACTGAACTAGAACTGAACTAGAACTGAACTAGAACTGAACTAGAACTGAACTAAACTGAACTAAAACTGAACTAGAACTGAACTAGAACTGAACTAGAACTGAACTAGAACTGAACTAGAACTGAACTAGAACTGAACTAGAACTGAACTAGAACTGAACTAGAACTGAACTAGAACTGAACTAGAACTGAACTAGAACTGAACTAGAACTGAACTAGAACTGAACTAGAATGAACTAGAACTAGAACTGAACTAGAACTAGAACTGAACTAGATCTGAAAGAACTGAACAAGAACTGAACTAAAAAAGAACGAGAACTGAAGTAGAACTGAACTAGAACTGAACTAGAGCTGAATTAGAACTGAACTACAACTGAACTAGAACTTTAATCCAGGGGTTGATATATTTCAGGATAACATTTTCAATTAAAACTGCATGTGAAAAGGTTGTATTTGAAGCTTTACATTTACAATTATTAGTAATTAGCAAAGTACAATTACTTGTTATTGTGATTGAAGAATTACCAATTGTAATTTGTAAACTGCTAATACAAGTATTCAATAACCAATTACAAACATTTGTAATTGGTTATTGCTCAATTACACATTGCAAGTTATTGTAATTGACCGTGTAATTACTTGAATTACTTTATGTAATCAATACTCCCAATCCTAGTATATTTCAAGGTGTAGGACCATAATATTTGAAGGTTACAAACTAATCGAAACAAATTTTACCTTTATCTTTCTTTTCGTACCAGTGTATCACAGGAGAATGACATAAATCATAACTGCATATTGTATAAAAAATGCAAATTTAAATTAAATAATTGTTACTTTTGGAGCGGAAATCCCTACACACACATACATACATATGTGAAATATTTCATTTATTTATATCAAATTGAATTTTATAATAATTTATTTTCTTTCTTTAATTTCTTACAGTTAATTTTTAAACAACAAATTAAAAACTTCAGCCAAGTGGAACAACGTTTAATGGCATATGGACCCACATGACTTGGTTATTTAATAATAAATTGATTTAATCAAATTTGAAAAAAAGTATAGAAAAACTACTGCTTAAAAATTAAACAATTCAACATTATTGTCAGCATCTCAACAACAATTGCCTGCAGTGGCAGCAACGAATAAAGATAGATTCAATAATTTATTTTGATAATGTGAATGAACTTTTTATATGTTTGCACACACCCAAACATTTTCAACATTATCATAGACAGCAGCAGTATCATCATTATAGTCCAAGCATGGTCGTACTATTAAGGCATCAATTGCTATAAGAAAAACTCTTCCTATAACCCAAAAAACAACAACAAAAAGCTGCAGAATATAAACCCTTATATACTCGTTCAGAACAAAACTTATAAAAAATAAACATTGCTAGAGAATTGTTGGGTTCTTTTTTATATTTTAATTACTATTGTAGCACAATTCATATTTTTTTATTCTTTTGTGGCTCATCCTCCTCTTATCATCTCAAACCGTTAAACAAAAAGCCCCTCAGCTTGTGCAATAGTTTGGTCATCTACTGATTACAAATGAATTTATGGCATATTGAAAAATTAAAATCGTTATAATTAAGAAAAAAACAACAACAACTTTTAACAACAGTGCTTTTTATTCAAAAACAACTAAATTGAAGTTATTGCTTCGCTGTCTTTATTAAACTGACGACTAACTAACTTCATTGCAATAATAGAGTTGTAAACATCAATTTATTTACTGCTACACTCACTAAACGTGAAGTGAGTGAAGAGTGCAGTGCATCGGTGTGTGGAGGAGCAGCTGCAGCAGCAGCAACTACGAAATGCCATCTTTAAGACAAAAGGTCACCACCTATTTTCGTCAATTGAGTTTTATAGCTGAACCTCGTGATGGCCCCAAGAGTCCGCGTAAAACAGATGAAGATGGAAACTTTATAATCAAATATTTAGAGGGGTAAGTGTCAATTTATTATGGCGTTTATTTATCATGTAAATAAATAATGATTAATAGCTTAATGTGCGGGGGTGGTGTGATAAGTTGCAGCTTTAATTCTTAAGTTTTTAAAAAGATAGAACAGAACTAGAACTGAACTAGAATTGAAATAGAACTGAAATAGAATTGAAATAGAATAGAAATAGAATTGAAATAGAATTGAAATAGAATTGAAATAGAATTGAAATAGAACTGAAATAGAACTGAATTAGAACGGAACTAGTATTGAACTAGAACTAGAACGGAACTAGAACTGAACTAGAACTGAACTAGAACTGAAAATGAACTAGAACTGAACTAGAACTGAACTAGAACTGAACTAGAACTGAACTAGAACTGAACTAGAACTGAACTAGAACTGAACTAGAACTGAACTAGAACTGAACTAGAACTGAACTAGAACTGAACTAGAACTGAACTAGAACTGAACTAGAACTGAACTAGAACTGAACTAGAACTGAACTAGAACTGAACTAGAACTGAACTAGAACTGAACTAGAACTGAACGAACTGAACTAGAACTGAACTAGAACTGAACTGAACTAGAACTGAACTAGAACTGAACTAGAACTGAACTAGAACTGAACTAGAACTGAACTAGAACTGAACTAGAACTGAACTAGAACTGAACTAGAACTGAACTAGAACTGAACTAGAACTGAACTAGAACTGAACTAGAACTGAACTAGAACTGAACTAGAACTGAACTAGAACTGAACTAGAACTGAACTAGAACTGAACTAGAACTGAACTAGAACTGAACTAGAACTGAACTAGAACTGAACTAGAACTAGAACTGAACTAGAACTGAACTAGAACTGAACTAGAACTGAACTAGAACTGAACTAGAACTGAACTAGAACTGAACTAGAACTGAACTAGAACTGAACTAGAACTGAACTAGAACTGAACTAGAACTGAACTAGAACTGAACTAGAACTGAACTAGAACTGAACTAGAACTGAACTAGAACTGAACTAGAACTGAACTAGAACTGAACTAGAACTGAACTAGAACTGAACTAGAACTGAACTAGAACTGAACTAGAACTTAACTAGAACTAGAACTGAACTAGAACTTAATTAGAACTAGAACTGAACTAGAACTGAACTAGAACTGAACTAGAACTGAACTAGAACTGAACTAGAACTGAACTAGAACTGAACTAGAACTGAACTAGAACTGAACTAGAACTGAACTAGAACTGAACTAGAACTGAACTAGAACTGAACTAGAACTGAACTAGAACTGAACTAGAACTGAACTAGAACTGAACTAAAACTGAACTAAAACTGAACTAGAACTGAACTAGAACTGAACTAGAACTGAACTAGAACTGAACTAGAACTGAACTAGAACTGAACTAGAACTGAACTAGAACTGAACTAGAACTGAACTAGAACTGAACTAGAACTGAACTAGAACTGAACTAGAACTGAACTAGAACTGAACTAGAACTGAACTAGAACTGAACTAGAACTGAACTAAAACTGAACTAGAACTGAACTAGAACTGAACTAGAACTGAACTAGAACTGAACTAGAACTGAACTAGAACTGAACTAGAACTGAACTAGAACTGAACTAGAACTGAACTAGAACTGTACTAGAACTGAACTAGAACTGAACTAGAACTGAACTAGAACTGAACTAGAACTGAACTAGAACTGAACTAGAACTGAACTAGAACTGAACTAGAACTGAACTAGAACTAAAATAGAACTGAACTAGAACTGAACTGAAAGTCAAGAACACAAGGGCACTTTTTCTATTACTACTATCGATATATTTTATTAACATTATAATTTCTTTTCAATTTCAGCCGCATGGATCGCATTTTCACCAACGGCCCCGAAGTCTATAATGGTCAAAATCCTACCGATTTACCAGACTACCAAATTGCCACCTATCCCACAGGGCCGAATACGATAACGGCCGCCTGTACGGGACCCGATGATGGTTTGACTGGTATTAAAAGATCTAAATTGCATTTGAGTGCTAGTTATGCCGATGACATAGACTTCATCGACACTATACAGGAGTCCGATTGTTTTGAGGTGCGCAAAAGTATTAATCCCACCAACAATCGAAATCACAATAGATTTCAACGTTACGGTAGCGGACGACGTCTGAGTAATGGAGCCAGCACCAGCACAAATGATCAGAATGCGAATAAAACTAATGGTACGACGACGGGTGGTATGCGTTCACGTAAGAACTCAAAGACGGGAATAGCTAATTTGACACAGAATCAAAATCAAACCAAAGAGGTAACCTTAGGAGGAGCAGGTGGGGTAGGCGGTAAGACACAACAAAAGAATGAGGAAAACTTAAGTAAATCCACTACAATAGTGGTTAGTATGGTGGCTACTAGCAAATCCACTGCAGTTAACACAAACACTGCCGCCGATATGAAAACAAATGCTGCCAATGATCAAAATAATAAAAATCTTTTAAATACCAAGACTGAAAGTAATAACACGACAAATTCAAAGTTGAAGGAAAGTGGGGACCCTAAAACGGAGTTGGGTACCGTTAAAATTCTAGAGGGTACTACAGAACGTTTACTGCGCGAGGCAGTTTCAAATCAGTCCACAGTACAGGAAGTGGAGGATTCTATAGCGGGTGTTAGTAATTGGAAAATGGAGTGTGATTCAGCTTATGGCATTTCCGTTTCGCTGTATGAAAACAATATGTTAACCAAAGAACCCATGGGCAATCCCATAGCCGATTGTTATGGTATGGTGGTGAGAGGCAATGCAGCTGCTATGGCTTTAGCGGATGGTGTTAATTGGGGTGATGGTGCTCGTTTGGCAGCCCGTTCAGCGGTGCATGGCTGTTTAGATTATTTGGATCGTGCCATATTTGGTTTGGCACATGAGTGCATGGCCACCTCTACACAGGAGGTCTTCATTAGTCTTTTACGTAGTCTTTGGGAAGGTCATGGTTGTATATTGGAAGTTGGTGGTGCTTTAAGTACATTAACAATAGCCGTAGTTTTACCTTTAGCCAAAGAGAGGGGAACGGAAGAAAATGGCGTGGAAATGGAGGGAGAACAGAGTGAAAAATATGTAGTATGTGCCTGTAATGTGGGTGATTCGTTGGGCTATGTGTACTCCAAGAAACATGGCGTCAGAGAGTTTACTTTGGGTAAGTATATAATGACTTCCACTTGATATGAATTTATATTTAATACTTCTTTCTTTTCTTTCCAAAGCTTCTCACGATATTACCTCTATGCGGGATATGCGTGATGCTTTGGGGGCATTGGGCCCAGCCGATGGCAATAAACCTGAATTGAGCAATCTTACCTTGTCCATGACAATTATAGATCGTGGTGATATAGTGTTTTTAACTTCTGACGGTGTTAGTGATAATTTTGATCCAGTGGTGGGTAAATTTGCCGAAGCCTGGACTCCTGATGTTAAATTGATGCCAACTACTACCTCGCCACCACAACGCAGTGGCAGTGTTTTGGCACCAAAACGTCAAAATAAAAGCGCCTCTGCTATATATGCACGTTTACATGGTTCTTCAAATCCTGCAAGTCCCGTGCCTCCTGTAAGACCTCCTAGATCGAAAAAATCTTCTTCACCCGAAAATCCAGCTGCACCAAGTCGTCCCAAATACATGAGATCCCAGACCGTCATAGAACCAAGAAGACTTTCTTCGGGTGCTGCCAATGTGGGCCACATCACCTACAATTACAAACCCAAAATACCCAAATCTTTAACTGGTTTACCACTGGTAACCGGACCCCAAAGACATGCTCTTACCCTACATCGTTTAGAAGATCTCTTAAGTTATGGCATTAATGGCACTTTCTCTCCCTGTTCCTCGGCCCGACGCCTGTGTCACTTGCTCATTGACTTCGTGCGCATGATTACCTCTGCGAGACGTAAGACATTGGAACAAAGAGAACTATTTTACAAATTATCTACTGGACCTGATGGCATTAAGCGCGAGGTGGAATTGAATCGTATGCAGCATAGAGCAGCACGTAAACGTGTTATAGATAGTGCTGCTTTTGTGGCTTTACCGGGTAAATTGGATCATGCTACTGTGGTGGCCTATACAGTGGGTAGTGGTGGACGCACGTTAAACAAAAGTAATCAACACACTCCACAGATATCCTTAACAACCGAAAGGCAACTTTCTAATGATGATGCTGCTTTGCAATCCAAAGAATTTCAAGAAACAAATTTTTGAATTTAAAACAAAACCCTCCAAATGAAGAAGAAAAAAACAGAACTATACAGTGGATTTGAAATATATATATATATATATATATATATATATATATATATATATATATATATATATATATATATATATATATATATATTAAAAGGAGTTAAACTAACCAAACTACAACTCTAAAAAGGGGAAACCTTAATTAATTTTTAAGTATATATTTCTTTAAAGGTCCTCTCCCCTTCTAATCCAAAATTTGCTATAAATTTTACTCCGAACATTTTGTGCTTTATTATAATATTTTTTTTTGTTTTTATAAAATTTTAAGCTTTTTTTTAAGAAAAACTTATTTAAGTTTGTTTTTTAACTAAAGCATATATGCAAAACCAAACTTACTTTAAAAATATGCCTCAAATTTTATTGAAAAATAAAGAGAAAAAAAACTCGATAAAAACGAAAAGACAAGCAAGAAATCAACCTAAAAATATATACCAAATAGTTTACAAAAGAATATTTAATATTATAAACATATAAATTTAAAATACATACGTAAATTGATTGTAGATTGTTTCATAAAATATGTATATTTAGCGAGCTAAATGAAAATACAAGAATCTTATGGTCTGAAATCTGGAGCTGTAGAAATCTGATATGAATTAATGTGCAAATGCAAATTTATTATTTTTAAGCATACAATTATAACAAAGAAAAAAAATAAGAAATACATTTATAAAATTGAACAAAGATATTGAAATATTTTAATAAATACAAAGTCATTTCATAAATGCTTTTAAATGTTTAAAATTATTTTGGTTTTTTCTTAAATTGCAATGAAAGGTAAAGGCAGTAACTAACAAACCTGATAATATCTTTCCATCCTTCAGTAAATAGAACCACTCACCGGAATAGGACGAAAAATATTAAATTAATTCACAATTTCTTATGATGTCTCAAATTTTATCAGAGCTTTTTACTTCCCGTTGAAAAAAAAAATCAATTTTACAAATATGTAATTTTTACGAAAAATTAGATTTCAAAATTATTCGAGAATTAGTTCTTTAATCAATAATTTTCGTTTGAAACTAGTTTAAGGGAAACGTACACACTTTTAAGATCACTTTCTGAAACTAATTCTTTTTTCAGCGATTTGTCGGTTATCATTATTTGTATCAAGCTTACGGATGGACAAACCTTAAGCTAAAAACCCAATTGCTTTATTCTTATTGGGAGTTAAAAAAATGCTCTGTATTAGTATTTGAGGTCTATTCGGTAAATATAGGAAATTATTAGCGGCATTGATAATACATACGTTTCGAATCAGACAGATATCTTCCATGGCTACTACTGGTTTCCGAGGAACACAAAGTTATCGTTCTTAATCCAGGTAGTGGATACAGAGTCGAAGCACTTTCATATACAAACTATTGACCAAAGACGCAGCGATTAAACCAACAACTGAAGTTTCGGTGCCGTCTTCTTGTCTATAGTCTAGTCTATAGTCTAGTCTATAGTCTCATATATAGTTTATAGTATAGTCTATAAATATACTCTATAAATATAAACTATAGTCTAGTCTCTAGTTCGGTCTATAACATAGTCTATAGTTCGGTCAAATATAGTTTATTTGCTAATGTTTAGTCTAGTCTATAGTTTATTCTATAGTCTGGTCTAAAATCTCTACTATACTCTAGTAGTATATTGCCCAATTTATAGTTCGGTCTATAATCTAGTCTATATTATAGTCTATAGTCTAATCTATAGTCTAGTCTATAGTCTAGTCTATAGTCTAGTCTATAGTCTAATCTATAGTCTAGTCTATAGTCTAGTCTATAGTCTAGTCTATAGTCTAGTCTATAGTCTAGTCTATAGTCTAGTCTATAGTCTAGTCTATAGTCTAGTCTATAGTCTAGTCTATAGTCTAGTCTATAGTCTAGTCTATAGTCTAGTCTATAGTCTAGTCTATAGTCTAGTCTATAGTCTAGTCTATAGTAGTCTAGTCTATAGTCTAGTCTATAGTCTAGTCTATAGTCTAGTCTAGTCTATAGTCTAGTCTATAGTCTAGTCTATAGTCTAGTCTATAGTCTAGTCTATAGTCTAGTCTATAGTCTAGTCTATAGTCTAGTCTATAGTCTAGTCTATAGTCTAGTCTATAGTCTAGTCTATAGTCTAGTCTATAGTCTAGTCTATAGTCTAGTCTATAGTCTAGTCTATAGTCTAATCTATAGTCTAGTCTATAGTCTAGTCTATAGTCTAGTCTATAGTCTAGTCTATAGTCTAGTCTATAGTCTAGTCTATAGTCTAGTCTATAGTCTAGTCTATAGTCTAGTCTATAGTCTAGTCTATAGTCTAGTCTATAGTCTAGTCTATAGTCTAGTCTATAGTCTAGTCTATAGTCTAGTCTATAGTCTAGTCTATAGTCTAGTCTATAGTCTAGTCTATAGTCTAGTCTATAGTCTAGTCTATAGTCTAGTCTATAGTCTAGTCTATAGTCTAGTCTATAGTCTAGTCTATAGTTTAGTCTATAGTCTAGTCTATAGTCTAGTCTATAGTCTAGTCTATAGTTTAGTCAATAGTCTAGTCTATAGTGTAGTCTATAGTCTAGTCTATAGTCTAGTCTATAGTCTAGACTATAGTCTAGTCTATGGTCTAGTCTATAGTGTAGTCTATAGTCTAATCTATAGTCTAATCTATAGTCTAGTCAATAGTCTAATCTATAGTCTAGTCTATACTCTAGTCTATAATCTGATCTATAGTCTAGTCTATAGTATTGTCTCTAGTTTAGCATATATATTGTTTAGTCTATAGTTTAATCTATAGTTCGGTATATAGTAAAATATATAGTCTATACTATACTCTAGTTCGGTCTATAACATAGTCTATAGTCAGTCAAATCTAATTTATATGCTAATGTTTAGTCTAGCCTCTAGTTTATTCTATATACTGGTCTATAGTCTAGATTCTAGTTTATTCTATATTCTGGTCTATAATCTCTACTATACTCTAGTAGTATATTGCCCAATTTATAGTTCGGTCTATAATCTAGTCTATAGTCTAGTCTATAGTCTAGTCTATAGTCTAGTCTATAGTCTAGTCTATAGTATAGTCTATAGTCTAGTCTATAGTATAGTCTATAGTCTAGTCTATAGTATAGTCTATAGTCTAGTCTATAGTCTAGTCTATAGTCTAGTCTATAGTCTAGTCTATAGTCTAGTCTATATTCTAGTCTATAGTATAGTCTATAGTCTAGTCTATAGTCTAGTCTATAGTCTAGTCTATAGTCTAGTCTATAGTCTAGTCTATAGTCTAGTCTACAGTCTAGTCTATAGTCTAGTTTATAGTCTAGTCTATAGTCTAGTCTATAGTCTAGTCTATAGTCTAGTCTATTGTCTAGTCTATAGTCTAGTCTATAGTCTAGTCTATTGTCTAGTCTAGTCTATAGTCTAGTATATAGTCTAGTCTATAGTCTAGTCTATAGTCTAGTCTATAGTCTGGTCTACAGTCTAGTCTATAGTATATTCTATAGTCTAGTCTATAGTCAAGTCTATAGTCTAGTCTATAGTTTTGAAAACTATTGAATAAGTTACACAATTTTAATATCGACTTACATTTTTTCAGCAGCAACATTTGTTATTTTCAATAGATTTAATTAATACTACAAAATTTTTGCAATTAATATACATACATATAAATATTTTTATTTAATTTTTTTCTTAAAACCTCTTAAGGTTTATATGCGCCATTTTTTATATAACAATTATTTTTAAATAAAATCACTTAAATTCTTAACCAGTTAATCGTATCGCCAAAAATCTAAAATCCTTTTTCATATACAAATTCATTTTTTTTATTCATCATTAAACTCTATTAAACGTTTCTGTAACAAACGTTTAATCAAATTAGTGTAACCCCGGGCTGTGGGACACAAATTAAAATCAGAGCAATTCTCAGGACTATCACATTTTTGACAGATACCACAATTAGTACAAATCGCATTGTCCACACATTTATCACCGCGACGACAGGTTTCATTTAAGCCCACATAGCAAACATAACGATCATCACAATTTTTAGGATCGGGATTCTCAATATAACCGCCATGTTCACAGGGATGCCAAATATTTTCTTCATTTTTGCCAGGACAACGTATATTGGGATTTATGTGTATGGCATTGGGTGATAAAGAGGCCAACTTGTAGGCACTGCAACATTGCCACCAGAATGTCAGGATTACGACCATTAACAAAGTTAAAGGGTATTTATGGTGAATAGTTGTAGTTGTATGAGTTTTTGCCAGCATTTTCTTTCCGGAAAAAATGCCTTTCGGATTTTAGTTAATTTTTTTTTATTAATTTATTAAAAAGATGTTAGTTTATAAGTATCGAGACTTGAAGTGTGTCCTGTTGATTCTATGGCGGCTGCTTTTATATGATTTTCACTTTTCCTTAAAAATGTCCTCTTTTAATTGTTGAATATTCCTTTTAATTGTATTCATATTTCTTCTTGAATTTTATTAATTTTCAATTAATTGTTCATTGAAGCATTAATGATTATTTGGCAAGTGGGCATTTGTAGGTCAGTTTTTGTGTTGGTGACAGGGCACATTATTTATGCCCCAAAGTCATAGTTAGTTTAATATTCAAAATTTTAATAAGATGTTTATTTCAAGAAATTGTATTTCTTTTATAAAAACTTTATTAACATATTTTTCTGTAGAAAAATGTCTATGGAATTAATTTTGTAAATCGAACATAAATTTCATTTTTATTTATAGAATAGACTATAGTCAAGACTTTTCTAACTCATAGTCAAGATTATAGCAAGACTGTAGACCAAAGTCAAAACTATTGACTTTACCACAGTCAAGACTATAGAGTATACCTATTGACCTATTGACCAAGCTATAGACAAAATTATTGTATAGCCGATTACAGGACTATATAGTAGTACTTTACTATAATAAACAATATTGATAACAATATGGTTAAGATTTTTGACTATAGTGTAAACAAGATTATAGACTAAAATATATGCACGACTTTTAACTAGACTGTGGATTAAAATATTAACTTGATCATAGACTATACTTTAAACTAGACTTTAAATAAGACTACAAACTAGACAGTAGACTAGACTATATATTAGACTATAGACTAGATTAAATACTAGATTATAGACTAGACAATAAACCAGACCAGATTATAAACTAGACTATAAACACGACCACCATGTACCAGACTATAGACTAGACTATACACTAGAATATAAACAAGACTATAAACTAGACTATAAACTAGACAATAGAATAATCTATAGACAAGACTGTAGACTAGACCATAAATTACATTAAAGACTAAACAATGGACTAGATTATATACTAGACTACACTAAAGAATGGTCTATAAAATAGACTATAGATTATAATATACACTATACACAAGACTATAGATTACGCTATAGACTACACTGTATACAAGACTACATATGGGTTATAGAATTGAGTATGGATTTGACTATACTAAAGATTAGACTATAGACTAGATTATAGACTAGACTATATACCAGACTAAAGACTAGACTATAGAATAGGCTATAGACTATATAATATACTAGACTATGGACTAGATTATAAGCTAGACTATATTTAGACTAGACTATAGACGAGAATATACACTAGGCTATACACTAGACTATTCACTAGACTATATACCGGACTATAGACTATAATATAGATTAGGCTAAATACTAGATTATACTATAAAGTAAACTATAGATTATAATATAAAGTAGACTATAGATTATACTATAAACTAGACTATACACTAGACTATTTATAGATTAGACTATAGACTGGAATATAGACCAGACTATACAATAGACTTCAGACTAGTCAGTTTTTGTTGTTGTAGCAACGACTCGAGTAGCTGAGTTGACAATTCTTGGTCGTTGTTCGTTGAACTTCGAGTCGTTTCGGTGCGAAGTACCGATTGTCGTGGGAATGACTATAGACTAGTCTACAAATTAGACTATAATCGAGACTCTTCACTAGACTATAGTCAATACTATTGACTAGAATCTAATCAAGGCTATAGACTAGATAAGAGTCATAAAAGGAGATAATAAAAATGTGGAATTCATTTTGTTATCATTTAATGTCTAATTCCATTGTTCTAAAGAAATTTAATATGGAATAATTTAACTTGACCTTAATGAAAGGATTTTGTGCAAAATCCTTTTGCCTTAATAGTTATTCTTAATTAAAAGCCACAAGCTTACTGAAATTAGCATATAATTAGAATTTTTAAAATGTCCACGACTTTTAACACGAAGAAAAAACTGACCTACAGCGAAACCATTTAAGGACAATTCTTTAACACTTGAATAAACAATTAATTGAAAATTAATAAAAAGAAACGAAATCAAAATGGAAGAAATTGCTATAAAAGCCAACTTGCAACAGCTGTAGAACATACACTTCTTGTTAAGAACTAAACCAATAAAGTATTACATTCAAAACGACTCTAATAAAAATGATTTCAAGGCAACAAACAAGAATTTTGGAAAAACATCATATCACTTTATTAATGCTGTTGGCTTTATCCGTTTGGTGGCAATGTTGTAGTGCCTATAAGTTGTCCTCGTTAACACGTAATCGTGAACATCTTAATCCTAATCTCAGATGCCCGGGTAAAAATGAACAAAACATCTGGCGTCCCTGTAAACATGGTGGTTATATTGAAAAGAATCCTGATCCCAAGAATTGTGATGATCGTTATGTTTGTTATGCTGGACTAAATGAACCCTGCCAGCGTAGCGAGGAATGTGCTGATAATGCAATTTGTACTATGTGTGGCGTATGTCAAAAATGTGATGGTCCTGAGAATTGTTCAGATTTCGAATTGTGTCCCAATATTAATGGATTTCGCGCTAAGAACTATATTAAACGTATGTGGCAAAAACGTGTGGGAGAATTGAAAAGCGAATAAATTTTTGTGATATGGAAGAAATTGTAATGAAAAGGAAAGGAGTTTGCAGTATTCTGAGATGAGATTTGGAGTCTATGAACAAATATCTCTAATATTATATTATATTGTATCTATTTGTTTATACATAATTGTAAAATATTTATATTTATTTAAAAATATTGAATAAAATTTCAAATACACCAAATTTATCCCATTTATGTAGTAGCAGTTAAACACATTTTTTAATTAACTTTGTAATTAATGCATTTCTTTTTATTTTTACTTCTTTTAACAAGCATTTCATTTCTCATTTTTCTTTAAATTTTCAGCCATTTAGCCAGTTTCTTAAATGCACATACTGTTGTTGGATTTGTTCGAAAACAGCAAATAAACGAAAAAGCTTTTTATTTATATTTTGAAAAACACACTCGTCTTCCTCTCGGTCTAGTTTCACATTTTCAAATTCATAATTGAATTTATTTAATAAATAAGCAGAAAATGAAGAAAAAGTTAACAAACAATTTAAAAATGATTTTAAGAAATTTGAGACATTTTTTTAATAGGAAAACAAAAAAAAAGAGTTATGATTAATAGAATGATAGCTAAATGAGATATAGATAGATCGAATTTCAACTTTAAAACATTGCCAATTAAAGTGCACTACACAGAGTTCGGGTAGAGCTAAATAAAAGTAGGTTTTTGTAGGTGATGAATGTGAGTTGGTGTTTTAAACTGTATCAGGCCATTATGATGAAGAGGATGCGGCTCCTGAAGCGGTTTTAGCAGCTGCTTGACGTTTTTTAACACCCCAATTATAAACACGAGCCATATTTACTTCGGTGGTTGTAATTTGATCTCTGAAATTTAAAATATTTACATAGTTAATAATTATTTTATTTTGAGAAAGAAGTTTAACAAATAATAACACAGCGCAGCTTTCAGTTGTGATTTAATTGTTTATATATCATTAGTTCAGACTTAGTTGATCTTTGCCCAGGAGCAATGACCTTAAATCCTGGATTTCAAACTTTAATAAATTTTCTTAAGAAATAAAATTTTGCGTTATCTAAAATTACCGAAAAAGGATTACAATTTATTCGTATTACAATAGAACATTTTTATCTATCTATCTATCTATCTATCTATCTATCTATCTATCTATCTATCTATCTATCTATCTATCTATCTATCTATCTATCTATATATCTATCTATCTATCTATCTATCTATCTATCTATCTATCTATCTATCTATCTATATATCTATCTATCTATCTATCTATCTATCTATCTATCTATCTATCTATCTTTCTATCTATCTTTCTATCTATCTTTCTATCTATCTTTCTATCTATCTATCTATCTATCTATCTATCTATCTATCTATCTATCTATCTATCTATCTATCTATCTATCTATCTATCTATCTATCTATCTATCTATCTATCTATCTAATCTATCTATCTATCTATCTATCTAATCTATCTATCTATCTAATCTATCTATTTATTTGTACATCTATCTATTTATTTGTACATCTGCCTATTTATTTGTACATGTATCTATTTATTTGTACATCTCAAAACTATTTTCCTATCTTTCTTCCATCTATCTAACCGTGTTTCTATTCATCTACATATACATTTACCAAGCATACAACTATCATCTGCACTGATGCTTTTACTTCATACAAATACACCCACTCACCTCAAAAAATCTTGATCATGTTCGACAGTTTTCAAATTTGATATAGCCGAAGTCATATTTTGTTTCAACAGAACCTCAGCTTCATCCAAAGGATATTCCAACATAACGCTGGCACCCAACCACAGGCAGACGGTTTTAGTGGGTGGCACCATGGTTTTAATGAACACCTGGTCACTGAGCAAAAATTGTGTTTCACGTTCTTCAGTTTCTTTGCGTAAAACATCAATCATTTCAAGAGATCTTTGTAAATCGGGTATTTGGGATTTCAATTTACGTTTGCGGGCCTCCAAATTATAGGCCATAAATCTGTATTTACTGTGCTGTTCATCTAAACGTTGTAAGACTTTTTCGCAATTTTCCTCATTTTCTGGCTGGGCCATAAATTTATCGATTTCTTCCTGTTAAGCAAAAGCATAAAAACACACATTATTATAAAATATTGTTTTATTTATTCAAAAACTTTATTGGATGATTAATCCAATTGGGTTCAGCGTTGACACCCTGTTTTTTTTCTTGTTCGTCGATTTTGTTGTTGTTTCGAATGACATCCATTGGTTTTGTTAGGTTATGCGTGCAAAAATTCTCTTTTTCTTTGCTGTCTGCGGGTTTTTTTACTTACCAGAAATACTGCTTCGGGTATTCCGGCAAAGGATTTTTGATTTTCTGGTAATTTAGGCATTTCTACAGTATCCATGATCCCAGTCATTATGTTTAACTTATAATTTAATTGGAAATTTATCAAAAATATTCACAGCAGTGGTCGTTGAATTGATATCCGTCGAACACAATAAATTAGACGTTTTCTACTTCTTCTTAATGAGTGACATGCATGGCGAAATGTTAGCATTAAAAGTAGGTGCTCTAGAAAAATTATGTTGCCAGAGTGTGCTAGAAACATTTGCAGGGTTTGAGAAATATTTTAATTCTAGATCCTATGTATTCATAGGAAAATAATGTTTGAGATATAATAAATTTTTATTGAGTGTTGATAGTTATTGTATTTGTGTCGAGAAGCCAACATTTAAGATTGAATTTCATATAAGAAATAACAAAATAATGGTAAACCCAATTAATTATATTTTTTATATCATTTAACAGTCTTAATTAAAGTTATGAGAGAAAAATCTTAAATAATAAATTCAATTTATATTAAGCAATTAAAATAGTATTAGTATGAACTAAAGTTACGTAAATGCAAACTTAAAGTCCATTAAATATAATGGAGTTGAACAAATTCAAAATCATACTCGTAGTTAATATTTTATAAAACATAAATATTGAGATAAACAGTTTTGTTCTTATTAAAATTTTTAATATTTAAAACATATTTTTTATTATATTAAATTTTAAATTAATGGCTTTAAACCAGAGAAGCTCAATATTGCCATTACATAGCACGCGTGATAGGGTAAGAAAATTCTGCTGACGCTAAGTTGATACACATACACTATAGGTTTAATTCTTCTTATTTTTATAATGAGCAATATCAGTTGGTTTGCTCTCAACTTGAAAAACAAAATCAAATCAGCAGTCGAAGCAAGGTCTGTGCGCGACGTTTTTAAAATACACACAGAAATACAACAACAAAGTTTTGAGAAAGCAGAATTAATGTAGGAGAACATGAGAGAACAGTTGATAGTTTTTTATATATAGACTTTGATATAAGCTGGCTGTCAAAATTCGTAATAAATATTTGACAGTTAGCATATACTTTATAGTTTGTAGTTATTTTATTAGTATACTTTTATTTTGAATTGAATTCTGTTCTCTGCTGCTTTACCAACACAAATAAAACTATGATAGTCTATGGTAGTATATGTTTGAGCATCTCTGCTTTAAACAGATATTAATTTCGATTTCTTAATTTCAATTTTAGATTTCTTCAATAAAAATGAAAATTAGGAATCGCTAAAAGAGTATATAAGCCACTTTTGAATTTGATATGAATTTCAATTTGATTTTTGGAATTAAAATTTAGATTTTCTCGATATGATTTTTTTTTTTTTGATTTCCTAATCTCTTCTCTCCTAGTGTGTTTTTATGGAAGTTGTATTTATGAACTTTTAATTGTATTTTTTCTATACAAAATTGAATTATCTGATTATCTTAACAATATTTTTTTATTGTTACTTTAATGCCAATTCAAAATTTTGAAATTTCTTAATTTTTCAGTAATTTAATCCATCATTTATTTGTCTTTTGTTGCTATATCAGTTCTTGGCAACCCTCCTACACATGTTATCACTTTGTTGTGAATGTTGATATAAAAAACCAAAACAACTTTTGACAGAAACTACAGTTTTAGCGCATTTTAAAAAATGAACGGCATCGCTTAATTAACAAAGAAAAGATTTTGAATAATTAAACAAAAACTGATTTTTCATTTGGTAAAACTAAATAAGAAACGAAAAATCTTTAAGAAATCATGTCGGATTCCGATGAAATTGTCAGTAGTGATGAAGAAACTCAATCGGGTGAAGAAGAAATTTATACTAGCGATGCTAGTGAAGCGGAAGACAAAATGGCCAGTGGTCGGCCTAGCACAGATTTAACAGTAGAAGATTCTGATGCCACTGATGATGCAGATGAGTCCATTGCGGTAAGAAGAAATAAGACAGGAAAAAAGAAACGTGCCGCTATAATTGATTCCGAATCAGAAGAAGAGGAGGAAGATGAAATAGAGAGTCGAGCCTTGTCACCACGCACACGTATGAGTATAACTGGCATTAGACCGGCAGACTTAACAGATGATTCCAGTGAAATTGAATACTCAGATGAAGTTGAAGTGCAAAATATAAGCAGACGGCAACGTGCTGATGGTGGAAGAAAATCCAAGGCTAAATTAAGTAATATATCTGAGGTATATGATTCAGAGGCGACAGATGATGAGTCTCAAGCTAGCGCTGATGAAGAAGAAGAGCAGCCAAATGCTGATAAATCTAGTGTGAGAAGATCTTTCCTAGAAGAATCAGCAGAAGAAACCTCCGAACATCAATCATCTTCAAAGGTTTCGGCTCAATCACAGGTGGAGGAAACTTCACCTAGTGCTATGCTGCAACAACAAAGCCCTTCACCCACTAAGGCAGTAAACAATAATGTTAGTATAATTAATTCGCCAGCTTTAAATGCACGCTACAGCACCCATTTCGAAAGCGCTATTAAAGATAAATTATCTTCGACTCTCTATCGGGCGCCCGAAATGGACTCATCCGGTGATAGTGATATACAAATTATCGAGCGCAAAGAAAAACCTATAGAAATATCTAGTTCAGATGATGATGTTGAAGCCGATAAAGAAAATAGCCTTGGTGTTTCACTGCAAAATAAATCCACACCCAAAGCTAGCAGTTTGTCTAGTGGTAATTTAAAGCAACCTAAAATTTCGGCCGCCCTCAATAAGGTACCAAATTTAAAAAACTTTGCCACACCGGCCATGAAAAACAAGGCTGACTTGAAATATGTTTCGCAAGAGTATTACGATAAAGAAATTAAGAAATTTGAGGAATTAAAGGGAGAACTACTTAATGCCGAGAAGCTTTTAGAGAAAATTTCCAAATCTTTACCCGATGGTGGTCGGCAACTTTCATTGCGTATCGAACGTTTACGTCAAGATTGTACGATTAAGGCAAAATATATAGCTTCCATGCATGTAGAAGATGCACCCGGCAGTAGTCCTTTACACATGCCATTAGATGATAAAGATTCTCCTTCGCAGAAAATGCAACAGTTGCAGCAGCAACGTAAAGCGTTCTTTAATAATCAAGCACCAGATTGGGATGAACTATCGGCGGCAGTCAATGAAATACAACCGAAACATACGGGTAGACAGGGTTTGGCCACTTTCAATAATCAAAAGGCTTTGACAGTAGATCGTTTAAAGGTAGGTGGACGAATTACAAATATGTACATTTTATTTTAATTGTTTACTTAAAAATTAGCCTTCTGATGATAAATATAGAACGGATATCTGATTAAAATGTTTACTTTCTTTGAACTGCCCAGGAAAGTTGAAAGCAAGAGTTAATTTGCTTTATAACTTTCAGCTGTTTAGGAAAATAAACATTATTTGATTAAAATTCTATCACACAAAATTCTGATAAAGAAAATGTTTAATCTAAAGTAATTTTAACTAAACTAGTTATTATTTTTAATAAGACGAATCTAAAATCTTTGTTTTAAAGGATTTACATGGCTCGCTAGAAAGTTGTCCCGCAGAAAATGTCTTAGCCGATGATCCTAAAGGTCTTAAAGTCACCCTAATGGATCATCAAAAACATGCTTTAGCCTGGATGAATTGGCGGGAGAAACAAAAACCTCGGGGAGGCATTTTAGCCGATGATATGGGTTTAGGTAAAACACTAACCATGATTTCTCTAGTATTATCATGTAAAAATCGTGATGAGGAAGAAGATGCGGAGGAGAAAAGTGGTAGTGGCAGCGACGAAGAGAATGAAGAGCAAAATCAAGCTGGTTGGTCTTCTAAAGGACGTAGAGATTGTAAGTATGCTTTATAATCTTTAGAATTTTATTAATATAACAAAAATCTCTTTAGGGTATCCTGGCGGCACCTTAGTGGTATGTCCCGCTAGTTTAATGCGTCAATGGGAGGCTGAAGCTCAAACAAAAGTTTCCCGTCATCGTTTAACTGTTTGTGTTCATCATGGTAATAATCGTGAAACAAAACCTAAACATTTACGCACCTATGATTTAGTAGTCACCACCTATAATATAGTAGCGCGGGAGCAAAAAACCCGCGGTGCTCTTTATGGCATTAAATGGAAACGTATAATACTCGATGAGGCACATGTGGTGCGCAATCATAAATCTCAATCCTCTATAGCGGTATGTGAGCTAAGAGGTAAATCACGTTGGGCCCTCACCGGCACTCCCATACAAAATAAAGAAATGGATGTTTATGCTCTACTCAAATTTTTACGCTGTTCCCCTTTCGATGATTTCTCACATTGGAAGAAATGGATTGATAAAAGTGCGGGTGGTCAACAACGTTTAAATACCATTATGAAATCTCTGATGCTAAGACGCACTAAAGCCCAACTGCAGGATCGTGGTGAACTACAATGTCTGCCTCAAAAGAAAATTGAATTGATTGAAGTGGAATTGGATAAAGATGAAATGAACGTCTATCAAAAGATCATGATCTATTCAAGAACACTCTTCGCTCAGTTTCTCTTCCAACGTGCCGAACGTAATACAGATTTAATGTATAGCGAACAAAGTTCAAGGCCCACATTTATGCAAACAAAAGATCCCAATGGTGCCTACTATAAAATGCATCAGAAATTTACGAAAATACATCAGGGCTCGAAGGAGATTAAATCACATGAAATTTTAGTGTTGCTGCTGAGATTAAGGCAAATTTGTTGTCATCCTGGATTGATTGATTCGGTAAGTGAAAGATTTATTATTTATTCTTTTTAATAATAGAACAATGGTTCAGTATTTAGATAAATTAAAAGTTTTTATTAGAAGTGGTAAAATGTTACAAAACTTATTAGACTAGTTCTTCCAGACGGCAGATAAGCATCAGAGGGCCATTTTGTTACCTTGTGTTATCTGTAAATATGTTTGTTTAAAAGAGAATAAATGAAAAATAATATTTTAGGATTATTTGATAAAGAGAGAGAGAGAGAAATTAAATACATCTGATAGATCATCGAAAAGTCGCTGGCTTAGGAATTTGAAATGAATGTCCCAAGGGCAGTGTAATGATATTAATTATGTTGCTGATGTGGTATCTTGGTTTTAGGAGTTATATTATCGGTCATTCACCATTTCTTCTTGGTTATTATGCCAGTTAATTTATTACTTCACTTTGAGAAAATTATGAGTTAATTTTGTCTATCTGCTGTATTCTGCAGAAGTAGTCT